CCATAGCTCAGACGAAGAATTAGGTATTTTCCAAAAAGCTCATTGCTCCTTTAGGTGAAATTTAAGTTCCTGAGCACTTAATCTAGTCCTTTCCAGACTTAAATCCCTCCTCAGTAGGCATCTCATCAGCTAAATAGATCCTCAGTTGTGGATCTGTTTAGCTTCTGAGCACTGCTTCTGAGCACATTGATCGATCGCAAGGCAGTCAAAACTGATCTTGCTGGGTGTTGGCTGTGCACACCAGCTCTTGGGAGGCAGAGGCAGACTGAGCTCTGGCTATACAGTGAGAGAGACCCTGTCTCAAAACCAAAATCAAACAAAGACCTGATTTCAACCACATCTTCCCAGACCACACTAACTGAACCCTTGACCCCGCTGACGTCAGTCCTCAGCACTCAGAATTCTGGGCCCAGGAGGGAGGGGAGAAAGCAGTGCACCATCTTTTTAAGTGAGCAGTTACTGAAAAGTGACTGCAGAAAACTTTTAAGTGAAGGCCATATGTGGTTTGAATTGTCTTCACAACCCATGTAGTTACTTTGCCAGTATAAAATTAACATTTCAAAAGAATTAGTGTAGAAGATTTAGTCTTGTTTCCAAGTTAGAAATTTTCATTTAGGGTTCATCTTTGGCATCTTACATAAATGGCTCATGAGCAGTAATGGTACCTACCTCACGTGAAAACCTGCCTCAGCCTCGTGACGGTATGTTAAGTCAGGAGAATGGTAGATGGTGTCTTTACTGTGACAAAATGCCTGAGACTGACACCTTAAAGGTTAGGCAAGGTTGGTGTGGGCCCATGGTTCCCATGACTGGCTCCACTGCTGGAGCTGAGCTGAGACAGATTACCACGGCAGGAGAGTATGTGGCAGAGGCGACTGCTGTCCTCACGGCAGCCAGGAAGGCGACCAGTGGACCAGTCTCAGTGGTACACCTCGTGTGCCCCACTACCTCCAGCCAAGCCCCTCTTCCTGTTTTCCACCACGTTAGTCCATTTAGCTATCTAGCTCTCTTAGTGGATGAACAAGGCCGCACTGGGGAGCAAGCCTGTAGGAGACATTGTAGGTCCAAACCATAACAGCGTCACTGACTTGAAGCTGTTCGCTGTCTAGGCAGTGCTGGGTGGTAAGGGAATGTAGCTCTGAGCTGTAGAGATGCGTGGGCTGGACCCTTCCGGGCAGTAAGGACATACTAATAGTTGTAGGCGCACGGTAGTTCTCAGTCTCCCTAATGTTGCAACTCTTTAATTCAGTTCCTCATGTTGTGGTGACCCCAACGATAAAATTATTTTTATTGCTACTCCATAACTAATTTTGCTACTGTTATAAATCATAAATATTTTTTGGAGAGAGATTTGTTGAAGGGGTCATGACCCACAGGTTGAGAACCTCTCTGGCATAGAGCCTGCTGTAGTTGCTCTCTGGTAAGTTCTCTTATTTCTAGTTCACTCTTTAAAAAGTCCACTTTGTAGTTATTTAATAGTTTTGAGACAGATTTGACTGCCTTTTCACACAAGCAAATAGATAACACAGAAGCCACGCTCTGCAAAGTGTGTGTAACCAGCAAAAGGTGAACGCAGATGTCTTAGTTGTAAATTACCTCGTCGGTCTTTTTAAAGCAAAGGCAGCTACCAGTCATACTTAGAGATTTTTCTTTCTGGTTGCTAGGATACTAAAGTAAGGCATATCCCAACTCTGACAACTTTTAGTGTGTACGTGTAAAAATTTATTTCAAGTTTTCATCTAAAATCTCTAAGTTTTCCTGGGCTGTGGGGAGTTGTGCAGGTGACGGGCCTTACGAGCCAACCCCGCCCTTCTCTCCCCAAAGCAAGCCAGGGAAGCGAGGCTGTAACAGCTTTTACAGCATAGACGGAACAAGTAAAGGGGATCTTTAGCTTTTGCTCACAATCAGGGGAAGGGTCCTCAATCCAAGGGACAAAAAAGACCCTAAACCACTATCTTTAGGCTTAATGATGTAAATACTAGCTTATTTGTAGGAGCCCAATTAACAGGGATTAGTGAGCCATTGTGGATGGAAAGAGGAAAGGAGACCTGACCTGGAAGCTCGGGGAGCAGGAGGTCTCTCCACGGTCACAAGTGGTACTGTGGGATCCCAGCTGGTCCTGAGCCTAAAACAGGAGACTCTCTTGAGCAGAAGAGTTCAAAGCCAGGCAATGTGGTAAGAACTTCATTTGGGAAAAAAAAAAAGTGAAAACAAAAGATTAAAGATTAAAAATGAATGGCTTAAGGAAACCAATCCTAGGCAGAAATACAGCAAAGCAGGAAAGAATGAAGACTCCTATAGAAAAACATATATACCATGAACATTGGAATTTGACGTTGAATTCGAACACATGACAGCCATGATGGAAAAGATCAACGAATGGAGTTAAATATTTGAATGTCCTGCCAAGGGGCTGGAGAGATGGCTTGGTGGTTAAGAGAACTGGTTGTTCTTCTAGAGGACCTGGGTTCAATTCCCAGCACCCACATGGCAGTTCACAACTGTAACTCTAGTTTCAGGGGATTTGACACCTTCACACCAATGCACATGGAATAAGTTCAAATAAATTATAAAAAAAAGTTCTGTTAACATCAAGGAAGTATTAAAAGTAATGATGTATTAAATTTAATAAGTTGAGTAGAAAATAGTAAGTACTTGAGGACTTTAATTTAGGTGGGGTTGATTACTTGGATAATCCAAAAGAAGGCGAGATCAAAGAGGAAAAAAAGAAAAACAGAACAGAAATAGTCGGATAGTAGAGAAAACCCCACCTAAATGAGTAATTGAATCCAAGTTATGTAAATACTCCAATAAACTAAGGTTGTCGACTAGAGAGGGGAAAACCGAATCTACTTCCTGCTTACAGGAGATAAAGGTACCCAGGAAAGACAGAAAGATGTGGGTTAGAGCTGCTAAAACTGAGGTGACTGCGCCAGTGTTGTGAAAACCAAACTAAGTAAACCACCACCGAAGAGAAGATTTGCAACTAAAAAGCCACACGATCAAGGCTCCATAAATCCACACAACACTGTTCCTAATGTACATGGCAGACAGCTGAGAGGAAAGCTGGGCGAGCCCTACAGAGTCGCTGCAGCTGAGCTCGGAGCTCGGGGTAGCACGGGCACCACGAATCCCCTGCGGTGCAGATGACGCTGGGCGGAGAGCAGATTCCTGATCCACTGAAGCTTGTGTATCAGAAAGTTAATAAACTGACAACAGAGGCCATAAAGCCTCTGAACATCGCGGAGGATTTAAATAATTCAAAAAGTGCTCTCCAACCTCGGGAGAAAGTGCTGAAAATTAGTAACAAGACAACTAGAATCCTCAGATTTGCCTGAACTGTTTAGCAATGAAACAGAACACACCTCGAAATAAGTAATTCCTCGAAGAAGAAATAAAGTGTTTTAAACCAAATACTAAAATGAGCCATGCTAAAGTTTGGGGACTGCAGCTAAGTCAGAAGGGTTAGAAACTTCTGCATTCACGACATCAGCTGCATTCATCAACTAAACTGCATCACCAGAAGCAGAAAGACCCGAGACAGCTCAGTGGTGGTGTGCCTGCCTTGCATGTGTGAATCCAAAGACGCCCAACATGGCAGAAGAGAACAGTAGAAAAGGAAACAAAAGAATAAAATTGGTGTGACAAAGCACAAACTTTAAAACAAAGCTAAGTTTGGAAAAGCGTAAGAAAATTGGTAGAGGAGCAAAAGGAAAAACTATCTCAATTGAAAATTTTTTTCTTAGAAAATTGAACATTCGAAATATGATTCCATGAGCAACCTCAGTTTGAGTATTTGAACAAGAAGAAAATTAAGGACCAAAAAAATCCAGACAAAGTCAATGAAAATGAACTAGGGAGACGGCTTGGCGGATAACAGCACTTGTTCTGCGAGCCTGAAGATCTGAGTGCGGATCCCTGGTGCCCATGTACAAACCCGGGCCTGGCTGCACTTGCTTGTAATCAACCCCAGCACTGGGGTTAGAGACAGGCACCTTCCGAGAGCTCATTGGCCGGCCAGCCTAGCCGAAAGCCAAGCCCCCAGTTCCACTAGAAACTCTGTCTCGACAGTCAGCGAGACCGAGCAGTGGACCACATCTCCGGCCTGCTCTGGACTGTACATCTGCACGATCGCTCCCACGCAACTCAAGCAGATTTTAAAAGTGGAAGATCTGCGGAGTCCCCATCTGCTAGTGAAGTCTGTGTTTAAAACTTTAAAGATAAAATCACCTGCCAGAGTGAGTTCCAGGACAGCCAGAAATCCTGTCTCAAAATAAAATTATAGGCAGATTCTTCCAGGAGACCACAAAAGAATATTTCCAAATCTCATAAATTATTATCTCAATAACAAACTTTTTTGTTTTGTTTTATTTTTGTTTTTGTTTTCTCGAGACAGGGTTTCTCTGTAAGCTTTGGAGCCTGTCCTGGAACTAGCTCTTGTAGACTAGGCTGGCCTCGAACTCCCAGAGAATCCGCCTGCCTCTGCCTCCCGAGTACTGGGATTAAAGGCGTGCGCCACCACCGCCCGGCTCTCAATAACAAACTTTATAAAGACATTGCCTAGTGGGAAAGAAACTAGAACAGCAGCAAAGGGACAGTTTAGTTTGTGACTGTCCAGTGAGGTAAGGTCATTGGAATTCTCACTGGCTTTGTCCACTTTATCATAGAATTTGAAAACCTGTTCCGTGTAATTGACCTCATGATCTGAAAGGGAGAGAAGTACAGTTCCTTTAATATACACAACTTGTAAAAAGAGGTTGAGGCCTGGGAAGATAGGCATCCAGTTCAGTGCCTGCCAGCCACAGATGTGAGGACCTGAGTTAGGTGCCCACCACCCACGGGAAAAGCCAGGTGCACCTGTGCATCTGGAATCCAGGGCGGCCAGGACAGGTGAACTCCTGGAGCTCAGTGACCAGCCAGCCTAACCTGGTCAGGTTTTGTGAGAAAACATGTCTCAAAAAAAAAAAAAAAAAAAAAAAAAACCTGAAGGGACTGGAGAGATGGCTCGGCAGCTGAGAGCGCTCACTGGGTGGGCCTTGCTCTTCCACTTTGCCCTGGCTCTCGCAGTGAACGGCCTTGACTTCCAGCATGCCTTTGATCCCACACAGATGCCATCTGCAATCTACAAATGCACCAGCGAGGGGAAGCCGTGGAAACAGGTAAGGCACAAGTGGGGTGGGAGGCCCTTCTGTGGATGTGTTGCTTTCATTGGTTAATGAATAAAGAAGTTGGCTTGGCCTGTGATAGGGCAGAGTAGAGCTAGGCAGGAAAAGCTAAACTGGGAGAAAGAGGCAGAGTAGCAAGACGCCGCCATGCAGCTGCCAGAGACAGACATTGGATGGAACCTTGCCGATATGCCGCAAGCCTCATAGTCAAATGTAAAATAATAGAAATGGGTTTAAGCTATTGGCCAATCAGTATTGCAAATAAGATAGTTTCTGAGTGATTTCGGGTCTGGGCTGCCGGGGAATGAATGAGCAGCCTCCTTCCAGCAACACACAAGTGTGAGAACAGCGAGGAATCCTTTGCCCCCTCCCCCAGGAGCCAGAAGGAACAGGGCCACCCATCAACTGTTTGCTTGAAGCTGGGGCCTCAACCTAAAGACGAGTTTCAGGTTACTTGTCATAGGCCACCTATACATCGGCAAGCAAAGGCTGCACTCTACCGTCTCTAACTTGTGTGTGCCAAGTCTGTTTGACTTATCCGCAAATAAATGTAAATTGCTCATTAAAAAAAAAAAAGAACACTTAGTGTTCATGCAGAAGGCCTGAGTCATTCCAAGCCCTGACCTGTCAGATCACAAACTACAGACCCTGTGCCCTCTTCTGACCTCTGCAAAGACCAGGCACGTACATGGTTCACCTACACACGCAGGCAAAACATTCACACACATTTAAAAAACGTGTAAGTGGAAAGAGATTGAGGAAGACACCCAGAGTTGCGCCCCCCCCACACATGGGTGCACGTGGACACCCCCCCCACACACACACACACTGGTTTGATTAAATTCAGTCACTGTGATTTTCAAAAATAGCAAACTTCTCTCAGGTGTGATGGCACAAACCTTTTTAATTTCAGCATTAAAGAAGGAGAGGCAGAGGCAGGCCTGGTCTACAGAGTGAGTTTCGGGACAGCCAGGGTTACACAGGGAAAAATAATAGTAATTAAATAAAAATAAAATAAATTAGCAAACTCTTGAACTACCCTAACCCTGACTTGACAAAGACAGTTGGGGGCCGAATCCTTCGCAGGTGTTGCAAGTTTCAGCAGTGTTAACAGGAATTCCACGGGGGGTTCCTGTGATCACAGCCTTTATCCAGCATTACGCAATACAAGAGTTTGTAGCCAAACAAGAGGGTGAGAAAAACAAGTGAGAGGAACAGAGAGACAAGAGAGGGGCTAAGGGGGAGCGGTTAGCCAGTACTTGCCTGACAAGAGCAGAGCCCCCCCCCCCAACACACCCATTTTCACACTACATAGTACAGAGATGTCACTCATTTAAACAAATCTCTTGAATTTAAAGTTAGAAAAACTTTCTCACATAGCTCTGGGGTTAAGTAGACAGATCATCAGCAGGCACCCTGGCCACTCCTTTAAGACTGTGACTGTTCGCAGGTGGTGGGGATGGTGAGGGGGTGCACACTTTTAATCCCAGCACTCAGGAGGCAGGGGCAGGCGGATCTCTGTGAGTTCGAGGCCAGCCTGGACTACATCTATTGACCATTCAAGGAACACAAGATTTGAGTCTAGTTGTCTTTTTAAAAGAGATGGTTTTACCAGGCAGCTGCAGTCTCCCAGGATTTCAGGTGTTCACCAATGAGCATAAATTTTTAGCAGATCGTTCTAATTGGCTCTCCAAAGTGAAGGTCAGTCCGGAGAAAGTCCTGAACTGTTTGCAACCCTGGAAGGGCTCATGTGGCAACCACACTTTGTGCCATAAAGTGGCTGTGTGAGGATATGTCTTTTCCTTCCTCGATGATTCCATACTTTTTGTTTGCTGGTTTTCCAGACAGGGTTTCTCTGTGTAGCCCTGGCTGTCCTGGAACTAACTCTGTAGACCAGGCTAGTCTCAAACTGAGAAGTTTTGGGCATTTTTCTTCTTTGGGGCCTACCACCCCAACTTCTAAATAAATACACAGAGATTTATTCTTATTTATGAATGCCGAGCCTTAGCTTGGCTTATTTCTAGCCATTTTTTAAAATTTAAATTAGCCTATTTCTCTTCTATGTTTTGCCTCTGGGATTTTAACCTTTCTTTATTCTATGTTTTTCTTCCCTTTTTACTTCTTGACTGGCTGGGTGGCCAGGTGACCAGCGCCTGGCATCCTCCTCTTCTGGTTCTTCTTCTAGTTATTCTGTCTGGTAGCCCTGCCTGTTTCTCTCTCCTGCCTTGCTATTGGCTGTTTAGCACTTCTTTAGACCAATCGGGTGTTTTAGGCAGGCAAAGTAACACAGCTTCACAGAGTTAAGCAAATGCAACATACCTTTACATCATTAAACAAATATTCCACGGTATAATCTTAAACTAATATTCCACAACGGCTCTGTCTGCCTCTGCCTTTCAAGTACTAAAATTAAAGGTATTTACCACCAAGCCCTGCACATCTCCACCATACTGTTTTAAACTACACTTTATATTACAGGGAGATTGTTTTTATGTGAATCTTACCTATTATTTGCAGTGCTGGGTGTTAAATTCAGGGCCTCATATATTACAGGTTAGTACTCTACCACTGAATTACAGCCTTATCTTATTTGGGCTTAGATATTATCTGATAAATAATGCGTTTGATTCTATCCAAGTTTTTTCCAGTGTTTAGCAGACTCAGTTGGAATGATGTTGAAGTTACCCTTGGCCAAAATTATAGTTAGAGTATAATTATAGCATTTGAATGTATCATTTCAGGAGACTTTGGACACACCTGTAGGCAGTGTTGACAGATTTATTTGGGATTTGATTTATTTAGTAATTGATGATGAACTGTAATAGAAAGTATTTTAGTGGGCCATTGTGAGCGTGAGAGAGCACAGAGCACGGCACCAGGCTGGTGAGAGAGAAGAAGGTAAATCCTGGGGTGACTAGCCCAGGGGCAACCTTAGGTTAACCTTAGTCTGACCTAGTGGATGTCACAGTCTCTTAGCCAAGCAGCTGTGCCAAGCACCCAAGTCATATAACACGCTGTCCTCTCACTGTGGACTGAAAGTCGCCAAAAAAACGGACCAAGGGAGGTGTCTGGGTTCATGGGATTGAAGGCGTGTCTGTATTTGGCTGGTCTGAGGTGGTGGAGTTTTATTGAGTTTACTCACCAATGCCTGCCTGCTGAAACCGTGACAGGTCTGTCACTCAGCAGTTTCACGTTGATAAACTTATCTGATGGAAACACTACCAAAAATTTCATAGAAGTAAGCCATTTTTTGACAAACAGTAAAGGTTGCGGTTCTTTATTGTTTTAATGTACATAGACACACATGCACGGTCATTCATTGTGTGGTGTGTGGAGCAATGGTCAGAGATGGTGGTTCTGTATGATTAGGTCCCCTGGTGACATCAGAGCCATCCTGGGTTGTGTAAGTAAACTCTATGATGTTTGCATAATGACCAAAGTGTGGATTTATTTCTCAGATCATATCCGGGTCGTTAGGGTCCAGGCTTGTATATTTCCAGAATTTCATTTAAAATATTCTCGCTTTGTTGGCCAGCCTTGTCTCAAACTCCTGGGCTCAAGTGATCGTCCTGTGCCAGGCTCGCAGGAGTGGGGACTAGAGGTGCATGCCACCGCAGAAATGAATAAAGCAGTGGGGATGTGTAGCGTGCAGAGCAGGTGGTTTTCACTGCTAAACAAGAAGAGATCTTTATTAACTCCTTCGTCTGTTTTAACCTGAGAATATCTTCTCTAAAATTATGCAGTGCCTTCATCATTGCCAGCGAGTCCACCTGTCAGTTTAGGTGGCCTTTTGTTTTCTTTTTCTTTCTTTCTTATTTTATTTTATTTTGAGACATGGTCTCTCTTTGTAGCCCTGGCTGGTCTGGAACTCATTGTGTAGACCAGGCTGGCCCTGATCTCAGAGATCCAACTGTATCTGCCTCCTAGGTGTTGGGGCTTAAAGACACCTCACCCAATCTGGGCTTTCTCACACACACAAGCTTTGGAACATAGCATTTGGCAGGACAAATGAGAATGCGGTGAGCTGCTGGTTCTTGCAGAGGTCCTAGGTTAACGCATGGCACCTAACAGTTACCCGGGTTACTCTTGGTACTGGTCCCCCGGTGGTAAGTCTTGTCCTGTGGAGAGAGTCTGACTTTTAAAGACTTTTAAATTCTATGTGTGTATACTTCTGTGTTTCTGTGTCTGGCGGGGGGAGGGGCATCCATGTGCACACAACAGAGGCCAGAAGAGATCCAGTCCCCTGGATCTGGAGTGAAAGGCAGGGTGAGCTGCCTGACTTGAGGTCTGGGAACTGAACTCTGGTCAGCTGCTTAGTGTAACTGCTGGGCTGTCTCTCCAGGCCATCTTCCATATGCTCTAAAATACATTCATCCTTTCTACTCTGAAAACTCTCAAGACCATGCCCTCAAATTACTCCTCAGAAGCTTCCTGAACTGATACAAAGAGTACAGCAAGCTAATTGAGCATTTCACCTAAGCAGCCTATTAGGGGGAAAAAAAAAATCCTCCCTGGAATTTTTGGCACGTTTGCCATCTAAGGCCCCACCAGCTACACTGTTTATCCCTTCCCTTAAAATAAAAGTGTTTGTGACTTTTCAAAAACATCCAAGTTGGGTTTTCCGAGCATTAACAAGAAAAAAAGAGTACCTTCCAAAGAAAGGTGGTTATAACTGCTTCAGTAATCATCGAGCCTGTGTCCCCTGAATAACGCTTAAAATCAGACGGCTCTGACCCAGTTACAGGCGGGGATTAAAGAAATCTGCTCAGAGCTGAATTGTGTCCACCGGAATGGCTGCCAAGAGCAGTGCACTTCACAGCGTGTCCCTCAGAGAACCTCTGGCCGGCCGTGCTGCAAGCCTTTGATTTCTGTTCGACATTTAAACATAGATGTAACATACACTCACACACGTTCACAGCCTATTAATTTAGATTTTCGTTTGTGCCGGACAACACATGCAGTCATGCAGGACTTCATTGTTTGTATCTATAATC